ACCCAGACCTCCGGCTGCTCCCAATTTGTTCGATGCGTGGGCCCCAGAGGTCCGGACCACTTCCCCAGAGCTCCGACGCGCCAACAGAAATTGGAGCAGGTGTTTTTTGGGCCGTTTGGCCGTTTTTGGGCCCTCGCCGGGCCTCGGGAGCTTCAAATAACGACTCAGGACGAAAAGCCGGCCCCGGGCAAGTGGCGGGACGTCTGGGGCTCACGCATCGGAAACAGTGGAGCAGGCCGCCCGCTCCAATGTTTCTGGAGCGTCGGATCTCTGGGGCGGAGGAGGAGGACGAGGAGCAGGAGGAGGAGGAGGAGGAGGAGGAGGAGGAGGAGGAGGAGGAGGAGGAGGAGAGAGGAGGAGGGGGGACACCGCTGGGGGGCCACCACCTCCGACTGGAGGCGAAGGCAGCCGCGCCTCGTGCGACGCGGCCTCGACGTGGAGAGCTGCCCTTCTCCAGGCGCGACGGCGCCCTGGGCTCGACGATCGCCCCGCGCGCCGCTGGGTGGCCCAGGAGATCGAGGATCGAGGGGGACGAGGGAGGCTCGGGGGTCCAGAACCGAGGAGCATCGAGGATCGAGGAGGGTGGGGAGGAGGAGGAGGAGGAGGAGGAGGAGGAGGAGGAGGAGGAGGAGGAGGAGGAGCAGCAGCAGGAGGAGGAAGAGATCGAGGATCGAGGAGGAGGGAGGCGGTTGGACGCTTCTGGGCGCCGTTTTGCGGGAGTCCTGGGGGCATTTCGGGGGCGTGCCGATCGGGGGTGGATGGACAGAACCCCCACCCTGACACGTCGATTGGTGAATTGTCCGTTGTCGGTTCTCGAGCGGGCGCCGCGGCCGTCATTTTCCAGACTTGCGCCCGCCAGGTTTGGGCTTCTGTCCACCCCCCCCCTTGGTCGAACTAAAGGGGGTTCTGTCCATCCCCGAGCCCAAGGGAGGCCCGCCTCCTCGAGGCGGTGGCGCCCCCGCCCCCCCCCAGGTGGTCGCCCCCCTTTGCGCGCATGCCCCTCTTCCTCCTCCTCCTCCTCCCCTCCTCCTCCTCTCCTCCTCCTCCCTCCTCCTCCTCCTCTCCTTCCTCCTCCTTCTTCCTCGTCCTCCTCCTCCTGCTGCCCCTCCCCCTCCTCCTCCTCTCCTCCTCCTCCTCCTCCTCCTCCTGCTTCTGCTCCTCCTCCTCCTCATCCTCCTCCTCCTTCTCCGAGCGGGCGTTCAGGTTTGAGCGCCGCCGCTGGCCTGGAGTCGGCTGCCATCGACCGATCTGTGCTGTCGGAACGCCGGGGGCGTGCTGGGTGGAGCGATCCGCGCGGAGGTTCGGAGGCCATTGTCTGCATATTCACTGCAGGAGCCAGCCAGGCCTTGAGCCCCTTCGGCTTCTGAGCCCACTGGGCCGCCGGGTGGGCCCGTGGTCGAGCTCGTTCGGCTGCGGAGCGGGCCGAGTTCTCGCCGCCGTCTTCGGACTGGGGCCCCCTCGGCCGCCCCATCTGCGGCCGAGAGGGGCTCCAGCGTCGAGCGGGCTCAGATTGGAGCCCAGAGCCCGGAGGCGTGTTTTCTCGGCCACTCAGAGCCTGTTGTTTTAGACAAGTCCGGCAAGTTTACTTGCATGGGTGGGGGTCCGGGGGCCTGAACCTGAAGCAAGCCGCAAACGACTCGACGTGTGGAAACCGCGCAAGTCGAAAGGCACTTGCGCGCCGGCATCCGAGTATTCCTTCGAAGAGGGGCGAGACGGGGGAGGGGGAGGGGGGGGGGGAGGGGGGGGGCGAACGCCATGCAAATAAACTTGCCCGAACCTATAGCGATCACAGGCTCTCTCGGGCCCCGAGAGGGGGCCTCCGGGGGCCTCCGCGGGGGTCCAGGCCCGAGGAGGGGTGGGCCGCGGCCGCGCTCCCGGGGCCTCGTGCCCGAGGGCCCTATACAGTGGGGACCCAAGCCAAGAAACACCCTGCTGGCCTCGGGGGCGGCAAAGAGGGGGTATATCATGGCGTGGGCCATGATAACTATTTCCCCAGATTTCATGGCGCCTCTTCTTGTTTTCATGTTTTGATGCGTCCCTGCCCCCTACCCCCCTGGGCCGCGCACATGCCGCCGGCCATGATTTGCACCCCCCCCCTCTTGGGCGCCCCCCTCTTTGCCGCCCCCGATGGCCTCAGGGTGCCCTGGGCTTCTTCTTGTGGGCTGGCCTCCACTGCACATCGCTGAGAGCACTCGACGCCCGCGATTGCCATCATCAGGTGGGTGCGCCGGCTCCGCATGTCGCGCCGTGGCCTGACCAGCGTGTCGCCGCGCCGAGGTCTTCGTCACTATCAACGGGAAGCGGGGGAGGCTCAACGACGTGCGGCGGACTCAGCGCAAGGAGCTGCTGGCGCTCAAGTGCGTTCCGCACGCGGAGCGATGATTGGCCCGGGGGAGGAGGGCAAAGAGGAGCAGGGGAGCATTCGGAGTGCCCTTCAGAGCACGGCTCGGGACGACGGGGGGCTCCGAGGCCCCGTGCCTTCGGCGGTCCTCGGGGCCGCCGCCCGGCACCGGCCTGGAGGCACGTGCGTGCTGCGGCGGCCTCGCGTGATCGGAGAGGGGGCCTCCTCCTCCCCCTCCCACTCCTCCTCCTCCTCCTCCTTCTCCTCCTGATTCTCCTCCTGCCCCTCCTCCTCCTCCTCTTCCTCCTCCTCCTCCTCCTCCTCCTCCTCCTCCTCCTCCTCCTTCTCCCAGAGCCGATGCGCCGAGCGCAGCTGCGCTTGTCCCCGTGGCTCTACGGCGGCGCCGTGCTCCGGAGCCGCCACGCCGATCCACGATCGGAGGGCGCAGTGGTGGGGGGGGCGGTACCCGGGTGTGCAGCGGGGGCTGCGGGAGAGGGGCCCCCGAGGGCCCGGGAAGCGGGCCCCGCAGGGCCCAAGAAGGGGCCTCTTCGGGCCCGAGAAGGGCACCGCGCTTCCTCCCCCCCCCCCCTCTGTCCCCCCCCTCGTCGTACGCGTCGTCGCAATTGTCGTGTTCGCTGTCTGGTTCGCCCCAGTTCAGGGTCCATCTCGAAGCCAGTTCGGTTTGGCTCGGCTCGAGTGTCGAAAACGACCGGGCCGTTTCGGTTCGGTCCGCGTCGAAACAATAACCCGTTCGCACCGATTCGGTACGGCCCGCCTCGTTTGGGGCATTTCGGCGCGCGTCTGGAACCGTCCTGTAGACAATTTTTGTCACCGTCGTCGTGGTCGTTCGTCGTCATCGTTGTCGAGGGCGTTACAATCGTCCTCGTCATCGACGTCGAGGTTGTCGTCATCGTCCGTCGTCGTCGCCGTTGTCAGACATTGAGTTTGCAGTCGGCAGCGTCTGCGATAGAACCTAAGCGCGAGTGAATCGCGCGCACCTTTGCAGTAGGCATATCTGAATGTATGTGTGAATGTATGCATGTTTGCATGTATGTACGTATGCATGTGTGTATGTATGTATGGATGGATGGATGCATGGTTGTATATGTATGTATGTATGCATGCATGTATTTATATATGTATGTATGTATGTATGCATGCATGCATGCATGCATGCATGTATGTATGTATGTATGTATGTATGTATGTATGTATGCATTTAGGTGTTTATGTATGTGTGAGTGTGCGTATTTAATGTACTTAGGCAGGTTGGCAGCCAGGCAGGTAGGCAGATAGGCAGGTAGGTACACATGCAATGTTTGCAGTGCATGACACATATATTTCTATATACACCAGGTATGCATGCATACATGGAAATACGCATGCATGTACATGCATGCGCACATGTGTGTATGCATGACTGTATGTAAGTGTGTATTCATGTAGGTGTGCATGCATGCATGTTTATGTATGTATGTATTCACGTGTGCATGCGTGTAGGTATTCATGTATACATGCATGCATGCATGTATGTGTGTATGATGGATGCATGCATGTATGTATGTACGTATGCATGTATGCATGTATGTATGTATGTATGTATGTATATGTATGTATGCCTGTATGTATGTAGGTATGTATGTATGTATATATACATGCATGCATGAATGCATGCATGCATGCATGCATGCATGTATATGTATGTATGTATGTATGTATGTATGTATGCATGCATGCATGCATGCATGCATGTATGTATGTATGTATGTATGGATGTATGTATGTAGGTGTTTATGTATGTGTGTATGTGCATATGTAATGTACTTAAGCAGGTTGGCAGCCAGGCAGGTAGGCAGATAGGCAGGTAGGTACACATGCAATGTTTGCAATGCATGACACATATATTTCTATATACACCAGGTATGCATGCATACATGGAAATACGCATGCATGTACATGCATGCGCACATGTGTGTATGCATGACTGTATGTACGTGTGTATTCATGTAGGTGTGCATGCATGCATGTTTATGTATGTATGTATTCACGTGTGCATGCGTGTAGGTATTCATGTATACATGCATGCATGCATGTACGTGTGTATGTATGCATGCATGTATGTATGTATGTACGTATGCATGTCTGTATGTATGTATGTATGCATGTATGTATGTATGTACATGTATGTATGTCTGTATGTATGTAGGTATGTATGTATGTATACATGCATGCATGAATGCATGCATGCATGTATGTATGTATGTATATATGTAGGTGTGTGCATGCCTGTATGTATGTATGCGTATGTATGTTTGTAAGCATGTGTACACGCATGCGTGCATGCATGCATGCATGCAGTCATGCATATGTCTGGGTGTTGGCATGAATGCATGTATGCATGTCTCCTTTTCTGTACGCATGCATGTATGGACGCTTGCATATAAGCAAGCATGCATGTGTGCATGCATGCAACTGTTTATGCATGTATGCATGCATGCATGCATGCAAGCATGTAAGTAGGTAGGCATGCATGAATGTAAGCTGTGTTCACGTGTATACATGTATATATATATATATGTGTATATATATATATGAGTGTCATACAGATGCAAGTATCCTGGCCTGACTGCTCTGCGGCCAGGCAGCCCCGGCCGCGCAGGTTCTCACCGTGTCCCGCATGGGAAGCCAGACGCTCCTCACGCTGGAGGACCACGAGAGCGCGCACGCCGGGAGGCCCAACAAGTCCGCCAGCACGATGCAGGCTCGCAGGGGTCGGCTGCACGTGAGACTGACCCTCCGCCAGAGTGACCTTTGGTGCGGGCCCACCGGGGTCATCCGATCGCCGAACGCGATGCGATCGTGGTGTCTTGCGCGCTTGTGTTTCGTCTCCCCGCGGCTCCCCAAAAGCCGCGCACCAAAGGTCACCCTTACCCAGGGTCACTCCTGCGTATAGCCGAAGGGGGGGGGAGCCCGCGGCATTTGAGGGCGAGGGGATGAGCAGTCCCTGAGATCCTGGCGTTGCAGCTGATTCAGGCCGGGCCTTTTCGCCTGACGTCGAGCCCCAGGCCCTCATGGATCGATCCGTCGCGGGAAATGCTGCAGAATAATGTGGTTTAGGGTCTAGGGCTCTGGTCGTGAATTTTCACGATGCTGCATTTTTTCGCGACGTCGGATCTCAAGGATTGCAGTGGCAGATCTCGCAGTCTCGCAAGCGGGATTTGGGGGGACATTGGAGCCGTTTGAAAGGCCTGGAGGGTCGTCACGGGTTGGTCTTGGGGGCCGTCGTGGGGCCGTCGTGGGGTTGGCCGGGGGGCCGTACTGACTCATATGGAAGCCGTTCTGGCCTAAATGGGGTGCCTCAAGGCCTGCCTTGGGGAGACTCGCGAGGACCCCTTGAGCCTTCCTGGGCCCCCTTTCGCAGCAATCTTGAGCTGGCAGGGGGGGAGCGTCAAACATGTGCAACCGTCATACGAATGTTGCAAAATCTCCACCTCTCTACAATAATAATAGATGGCATACGTATAAACGTTCGGAGATCCGCGCGGACTTCTGAGAGCTATGTTTATGCAGTTGTTTCTTCCTCTATTCTCGGAGGCGTTCTGTAAACTATCTTTCAGCCTCTTGTGATAGTTGTCGAGGCTTCTTGCGCACCTAAAAAGTATGCCTGGTTCGTCTTGGAAGACGTGTTGTTGAGGGGGGAGGCTGGGGGCCAGAGTCCAGAGGCATGCGTGACAGGCTTTCCAGGGTGGTTGGGGGTGGGCACGGGACGGTGCCACGACTGCGCGGCCAGTCGCAATAACGTGTCTCGCTAGTCGACACAGTCGCTGGATCATTGGTATCAGTTGTGTGTTCCCCTGTCCTGTCTGTTTCGGTCTCGCCCCTTTGCCCCCCTTTGTCCCCCTTTGTCTTCCTCCTCCTCCTCCTCCTCCTCCTCCTCCTCCTCCTCCTCCTCCTCCTCCCCCCCGCCTTCTCCCCTCCTCCTCCACCTCCTCCTCTTCTGCTCAGTTTCCCAGCTTCCTTTCTTCCCCCTCTGTCTTCCGCCCTGCCACTGCCGAGGTGGAGATCAAGCTGGCCCGACTCGGCGTGTCCCTCATCGAGGAGGTGCCTCCCGCGGCTGAGCCCCCTCCCCGAGTCTGTCTTATCTCTTGTTCTCCTTGCCCCCCCCTCTCCCGACCTCTTCCCTGGGCAGGGGCAGGAGGCGGCGGAGGAGGAGGAGGAGGCGGAGGAGGAGGAGGACGCGGAGGAGGAGGAGGACGAGGAGGAGGAGGAGGAGGAGGAGGACGCGGAGGAGGAGGAGGAGGAGGAGGAGCACTTGGAGGAGGACTTGGAGGAGGAGGAGGAGGAGGAGGAGGAGGAGGAGGAGGAGGAGGGGGAGGAGGCGGAGGAGGGAGGTCCTTGGAGGACCCCGCAGGCCTCGAGAGGCCCAGAGGGTCGAGACCCTCACGAAGCGGCCTCGATCCTCGATCCGCTTGCCTCCAGGGACGGCGCGTTGGCAGACGCGGCGGCGGCCTCCCCATCGCGCTCGGGAGGGGCAGGGTCCCTCCGCGGGCCCGGCGCGAGTGGCCGTGGGCGAGGGGAGGGGGTCCCAGGGGGGAGGGAGGGGCGGTGTGGGGTCAGCTTGGGGAGGGGGAGGCGGCGGGGGACACTGGTCGAATAAGAATACGAATGACAAGGAGAAGGATGCTAATCATATGAGTATGGACCTATACGACCACCCTTCGGGTGATAAGGAGGTTCGGGGGGGAGGAACCAACGTCTCACTCGATCGGTCTCACGGTCGATCTCACTATCGATCTCACTGTCGATCTCACTATCGGTCTCGCTCGATCGATCTCACCCGATCGATCTCACAATCGATCTCACTCGATCTATTTTCTTCGATCGATCTCACAATCGATCTGGCTATCGATCGCACAATCGATCTCACTATCGATATCGCAATATATCTCACATTCGGTCTCATTCTCGATCTCACTATCGATATTACAATCGATCTCGCAATCAACGTCATCACCATCATCAGCATCATCGTCATCAACGCCATCAACATCATCATCATCGGGACACCACCATCATCATCACCTCATCACCAGCATCATCAACATCATCAGCATCACCACCATCATCATCGGGAGACCATCATCGTCACCATCAGCATCATCAACACCATCATAATCGGGACACCATCATCATCATAGGAACACCGTCATTATCATCTGATCATCATCATCATGGTGGACATTATCATCAACATCGTCATCCTCGGGACACCATCATCATCGCAAACACCATCGTCGCCATCATTATCATCGGGACACAATCATCATCACCAACATCAACATCAGCATCATCATCGGGACACCATCATCATCATCATCACCTCATCACCAGCGCATCATCATCACCATCATTGTCATCGGGAGACCATCATCGTCACCATCAGCATCATCAACACCATCATCATCGGGACACCATCATCATCATAGGAACACCGTCATTATCATCTGATCATCGTCGTGATGGACAGCATCATCAACATCGTCATCCTCGGGACACCATCATCATCAGCAACATCATCATCACCAACATCATCACCATCGGGACACCATCATCATCGCAAACATCATCGTCACCATCATTATCATCGGGACATAATCATCATCACCAACATCAAAATCATCATCATCACCTGGCCACCATCATCAAACTCAACATCATCACCTCATCATCACCCTCATCATCAACAGCATCATCACCTTCACCGGGACACCATCATCGTCATCATCATCAACATCACCATTATCGGGACACCATCATCATCACCATCATCATCAACAGCATCATCATCAGCCTAATCATCATCATCATCGGGACACCATCATCATCATCTTCACCACCGTCATCATCATCATCTCATCATGCTATCATCATCAACATCATCAGGACCATCGACATCATCATCATTATCATCGGGACACCATCATCATCAGCAACATCAGCATCATCACCATCATCACAATCGGGAGTCCATCCTCGTCACCACCATCATCATCATCGGGACACCATCGTCGTCATCGTAGCACCACCATCATCATAATCTCATCACAATGATGAACAACGTCATCAGCATCATCATCATCAGCAGCACACCATGATCATCATCAGCAACATCATCATCAACAACATCATCACCATCGGGACACCACCATCATCATCATCACCATCGTCATCATCATCACCATCATCATCATCGGGGCACCATCATCATCAACATCAGCATCATCATCATCGGGCCACCACCATCAAAGTCAGCATCATTACCTCATCATCATCCTCATCATCAACATCGTCATCATCGGAACACCATCATCGTCATCACTATCAACATCAACACCATCATCTGGGCACCATCATCATCACCATCATCATCAACATCATCATCATCAACCTCATCATCATCGAGACACCATCATCATCATCATCATCATCACCTTCGCCTTCATCATCTCATCATCTCACCATTATCAACATCATCAGGGTCAGCAACATCATCATCATCATCACCGGGGCACCATCATCATCACCATCACCAACATCATCATCATCGGGACACCATCATCATCACCACCATGGCCATGATCATCATCAACATGGTCATCATCATCATCATCATCATCATCATCATCATCATCATCATCATCATCATCATCATCATCATCATCGGGACACCGACGGGACACCGGCGGGACACAGGCTGGACACCGCGCGCCACCGGCCCCTGGACAGGAAACATTTGGTCTGGCCGCGCCTCAGCCAGAGGCGGGAAACTTCTCGCCCGCCCACGCAGCTTCGCCTCGCCCGCACGCACGGCACTCACGAACACGAAACCGAAACCGATATCCTGGTAGGGGGGCTCTTCGTTCCACTTCGATCTCACCCCCTCACCTCCGATAGTTGAAATAATATGAATAATATGATGAAGTGACATGTATGTAATCTTCTGGAGCGCAGGGAGTTTATGAGCTGATGCCACCACCCTCCCCCTGTGGCCTATGCGGCCGCGGGCCGCGGTCCTTCTCGACCACGCGCTGCCCCGAGCCAGCAGCTTGCCATGGCCGTGCCGAAGCAGGCGCTCGGCCCACCTCCCCGGGGGAGGGGATGCTTGGCCGACTTGCCGCGCAGGGCCATTCCGCAGACTAGACGAGGCCGCCCGCGCTGAACAAAAAGTGGCATAAACATAAAAACTCAAAGGTCCGCGCGGATTTCTTAGACCGGCGCTGGCCCCTCTCCCTGGCGCGCGGAGCGCGCCAGGGGCGGCGCTGGAGGCGCCGCCGGGTGGCCCCAGCGCCGATCCGAGAAATTCGCGCGGACCTCCGAGATGTTATGTTTATGCCACTTTTTGTTCCCCTATTATCAGGGACATCCCCCTTTTGCAAAACAAGTATCTCGAATGATGAAACATGCGAACGCTTCGAGCAGCGAAACTCACGGTTCCGATCCGTCTTCCTTGCAGCAGAACAGCAGGGCAAAAACAAAAGAAGAGGCCGCCGCCCCCGCCCCGCCTCCCTCCAGCTGCGCAGCTCTCCAGATCGGGCCCCCGCTGGCCGTCAGCACGACGACTCGGGGGCACAGGGCTGGCCCCCGGGGAGGAAGTCGAGGGGCCAGGTCGGGGCTCGAGAGACAGGGGTCGATGCAGACAGGGTCAGCCAGAGCGCCGGATCTTGCAGCATCTTGTAGGGCCAGGGTCGCAGTGGCCCGGGCGTGGGCGCAGAGCCTGCATGATCTTGCAGGATCCTTCGCGTTGACCCGGGCTTGGGATCTTGCAGGATTCTGCAAGGCTTGACTGACCCAGGTCTGGATTGACTTGGGTCAGAAGATCCCCGATCAGGGGTGCCCAGCGGCTCGAGGGCATCGAGGCGTCGGATAGGTCTGCGCCCTGCCTCCGAGCGTGCGCCTGTGCGCCTGCGGTGGGCTTCTCCGCAGTTTTCTGCTTGCGCAGATCTGCCTGGTGGCGGGTCCCTCCGCCTCCGCATCCTCCTCCTCCTCCTCCTCCTCCTCCTCCTCCTCCTCCTCCTCCTCCTCGCTGACGCCAGTGCTCGGCGGATTTGCCTCTGCTTGTTCGGACGCAAGGCCTGCGCGTTCCTCTCAGCGGAACAAGGGGAGCACGCATCGATCGCGCACGGACGACGTCGCTTATGTACACTTCGAGCGGTCCTCGTGGGGCGGCTCTCCTTGCACTTGGGTTAACGAATGCTCAACCTGACTGACATGTGGTGCCCCATGGAGATTTCTAATTCCCCGATGGCCCGAGTTGCCTATAGATGCTTTGGGGCACCACGGAATGTCCAAAGGGTTCGCTCGGACCCTGCCCAAAGATGGCGCACACCACGATTTATTGTAGTCGCAGGTGGGGGGTGGCAGCCCGAGTGGTACGGAGTTCCTGCACCGGGGAATTGGTTTTGGTGCCAGTCCGTGCGGCCTAGGCGAATTGAAGCTGCGCCTCGAATTCTTGCCTTAGCCAGACCCAGGGAGGCACACTCTGTCCCCTCCCCCCCCTGAATCCGGGGCGCGCGTTGGCGTCATCCCGCTGTTGTCCAGTGGCTGTTCCGTGGTTGCCTTGCAGGAGTGGAGTGGAGTGGACGCCATCACGAGGTGATATCCAGAATCACTTGCCACCCGAAGCTCGAGCTGCCTGTTGAGCTCGGGCGAGCGCCTTAGGCCACAAACCATGTTCCAACCGTCTGAGATATTCTCTTCGGATGGGGTTCAGCCGCCCAGTGCAAGACGTTTTGAGATCTTTAGAAAGGAGCTCGTTACAGAAGAAGCCACACGATGTACAATGCCACACCCCCAAATCGACGTGGTAAGCCATCTTATGGGAAGGCCCCACCCAGCCCCCGCAAAGATGCAAGGATTGACCAGCGGGCAGATGCAAGACACCAGAGCTTCCAGGAACGAGTTCAAAGCAGGGGGCCGATCTCCACTCAGTGGCGGTGTCGATCGTGGCAGACCCCCGACATCGAAGACAACAGCGGCCATTCGGCCCGAGGCGATGGGGCGAGTGGAAAACAGACAGAGCAGCAGGAGAAGGAGGAGGAGGG